GAGAGTCACAAGAGCCTGGAGACACCCCGAGGAGTCACCCCTGACAGCCACCACAAGAGCCTGGAGACACCCCGAGAGGAGTCACCCCTGACAGCCACCACAAGAGCCACTCTTCTAATCACAACCGGGAAGAGGGAATGAGAACATGAAAGCCTCAACTTCACCTCTAAGTCTGGGATATGGGACATGAAAAGACTGGGAAGAAGTTCTGGTTGGTAGAACCACACCCATTCAGTGTGTGGGAGGCTGGACCAGTGTCGCAGAGAAAGAGGCTAGTTTTCTGTGGTTCAGGCACATTAAGAATACACATGCACAGCTGGATCCAAGAATGTAAGGCAGTGGCTGTGAACAACACACAAACCAACAACTGAAGCAAAAATGAAATAGTAGGACACTGTAGAGAAAACAGGCAGGGACAGGCCGGAACATGCTGGATCCTGGGAAGGGCCTCGAGGCTGCTCAGGCAGATGGTGACTGACTGACTCAGAACCTGTACAGCCAGCAACCATTCCTAGCGTATCCCTTCTGGATCGCCAAAAGGGTTTTTGGAGAACAAGAGTCCATGTCTTTTGTCTCCTTGCCCTCAGAATGGAAGTGGCTCAGAGTCTCCCATCCCATTCCCATTTCCTGGCGGTGATGAGAAGAGTGTCTCTTGCCATGGGACATCTCCTCCTGCTGACCTCAGTGATCTCCAGACTGTACATTTCTTGTCTTTGTCAGTGGTATCCGGCTTTGCTCCTCATCTGGTTTTGCTACATGGCTTTCTTTGTGGTATTTTTCTTCTTGTGTGATTTGAACAGAAAAACTGAAACCTCATCAATAGAGTCCTTCAGACCTGACTGAGGCCTCTGATTCATGAACTACATTTCTTATTTAAGGAAAAAAAAAATCAATAAAAAGACCCTCTAACTTTTTGAGTTCAAGTGCCTTGTAAATAAAACAATGTTATTCTTAAAACCCGACAATCTGCAACTACATTTGTTCTGAAAGACAAAGTAAGTGCCTTACTTGTTTGTTTCCGAGCTCAGGAAGTGCACGAGGTGGCTGGCCCAGAGCACAGGTCCCACATATGTTCCAAACACCGTGAGGAATGTGGCTGGAATTTCCATGTAGGTATCTAAGCCCACAAAGCCTGCTGAAATGTCAATGGTGGCAATGTTGTTTGAGTTACCCTGCAACACATAAGAACAAGGTTGCTCTTTCCATATGCGAGCAAGAGGCACTGATCACAGCCAGTCATCTGGCTGCTCCTTAGGTCACTGGGCTGGCTCTCCAGACCCGAGAAGGGGTAGAAAATAACCTATACAGATGAATCTTTTGAGGAATTTTGCATGCTTCAATTTGACTGATCACAGAAATCTCACACCTTCCTCTAGACATGTCAACTGCTCTCAGGACAAGTGCATGGACCTTTCCTTCAGGACCTCTGCTTGAGGATGGTGCATGTGGTCCTCAGAGGCCCACAGGACACATCCTGGATACTGCCAGACTGGTAATTGCTCACTGAATACCCACTTTTCTACAGCAGCCAAAAGGTTAGCTATAGCCCAATCCTGCGGGGATCCATGCCACATAGTATACAGGCTGATGACTCCCTACATTCTACCAATTATATCCGTGTGCCCAAGCTATTCACTGGTCTTGAGTCTATTATAGGCGAGTTCTGCTGGTTCATGGGGGAGACCAGAGTAGAGTCAGGAGGACCAGATCACCACAGCAAACAGCCCAGGGCTGGTCTTGGGCTGGTCATAGTACTTAAGGAATTATAGATTTCTGTAACTGAATCCAACCACTCTTGACCTTTGGTGACAAAAGGACAAAGGACAAGTCATATAACCTAGAACTGATTCATGGGTAAGGCTGGAGACATATGAAACCAAGAGCAAAATGGAACACAGGGAGGAGACGGACCTATCAGGAGACAGATGAAGAGAAGTGGTCAGTATACACAGAGGAGATAAAGCAGAGTTGTGAAGGAAGCTAAAGTAATAAACACCCTCCCTGGGGTTGCCTTCTAAGGCCCACTATCTGCCCGAATACCTTTCTACACAACAAAATAGACTTGGGTTTCTGATGATGGATTTTTAAATACAAGGAAGAAGTCCTATGATCCTCCAGGTCTTAGAGTCTAATAACTGTGGAGACACTCAGTGGTTCCCAGTGTGGACAGCCTTGAGACCAGGGACAAAGGCACATGAAGTACCTTTGCACATTCCCAAAACAGAACACACAAAAGACTTGATGAATTTCCTTTACCCTTTGTACCTAAATCAATTTCTACCTAATCCTCTCTGCAAAGCAACAACCCATTGTCTTATAGATATCTAGATGCATCTACACATCTAGATTTTGTTTTTTTGTTTTTTTTTTTTTTTGAGTCAGGTCTCACTATGTATTTCTAGCTGGCCTCCAACTCACAGACCTCCCTGCCTCTGCCTCCTCAATGCTAGAATTAAAGGTATGCACCACTACACCTGGTCAAGCATGCCTTTTTTAAAATGACAAACTGTACTCTATCTAACAAAATTCACATAAGATTTACATATATTTTCCATACATCTTCAGTTCTTTCACTGAACTGATACAACTTTCCATCTTACAACATTTTCAGAAAGAAAAACTAAAGATATGTGACATAAAGAGTTACTAGTCCTCTATCCATGATAATAACGAAAACCTACCTGAAAATAGAAGAATGCTTGACCAAACCAATAATGCATTACAGTGATCTTGGCTGCATCATGTCTCAGGTGTTTCCAGATGAACTTAGTCATTATAGTCTGAACCAAGAGGCTAAATGCTAACACTGGAAGATTGTGTGGTCTCAAGAGCAATGCTGCCAGGAGAACCAATCCACTATGTATCTCCCACAGACCTACAGTTCTGGTTTTGAAGTCTGTTGCAATGACTTGTGCTTTAAGTAAATCTTTGGTACCCGTGAACAGAATGCCAAGGACAAATACATAAACAAAACGAGCTTCAATAATGCCCCTAAAAAAAAGCAAAACATGTTAGATTCATTTGTACTAGCTAGAAAAATTCAAGTACATAGTTTTCCATTTAAAACATGTATCTAATTAGAGAATGCCTAAATGTGCCAGTATAGCTAAACAAGCTGTGACTACTTTAAACAAACAAACAAACAAAAGGCATGTCTACTTCTACACATGTGCCTTTAAGGAACAGCCAGTTAGGCCAACAGGCGTATGCTGGAATGTACTGTCCTGATGAAGTTTGGGGGAAAACTTGTTTATATGGTCTAAGGATCACCTGATTGCAAGACCAGAGCTATGCCCTTGTAACATGCCAAGAAAATCACTAATCCACTTTGCACAGTTAAATGAAAAACCATTAAGACAGTTCAAGACCTGAGTATCGGAAATTTCCCAAGTTCAAAATGCTAACTGCAATTCAGCATGTTCAATTGCAAATAAATGGATTTAAAGAGAATTTGCAGGTTGACGTGTTTAAGATGTGCAATGTCAGCATGCAGTGGTACAAACTCTTCAGTCTGGTCTCTACGGCTCACAAGTTCTGCTGTTTGAACAATTAATGCTCTGACAACTTCATTATGTGTGAAACAGAAACAGGTTCCTACACATCACAGGGTTATCCTAGGAATTATATATGTGTAAAAAAATTAGACATGAAGGATTTGGCACACAGTAAATGCTTAGTAATATTAAGTAGTAGTAGTAATATTAAATACTGTTATGAACAAAGTATCTTGGCACTTAATTCAAGTATATAAAGGATACAAGTTATAAGACTATGTCTAATAATTTCATCTTCTTTAATATATTCCTAATACATGGCATTTTCAAAATATTTTATAAATAGTGTACTTATATATTTTAAGATTAATGGTGGAATGTGTGGTGCATACTTTTAATTCCAGCAGTCAGGAGGTAAAGGCAGAGACAGATAGTCTGTGAGTCTGAGGCCAGCCTGATCTACATAGTGAGTTCCAGGCCCAGGCTACATATTGAGATCCTGTTTAAAACAAACAAAACAAGTTTGATTTCCCAGCACCCGGATGGTGGTTCATAACTGTAACTCCAGTTTTGGGGATTCAATGCCTTCTCACATACATAGTGCACATACATACATGCAGATAGAACACACTTAAGGTAATAGTAAATGAATTTTAAATAAAGTAGCAATACAGCAGTATATCTGTTTTAAAATAGATTTCCCGTATCACACTGTCATATGACATTTTGTGCACTATAAAAATCCCCATTTATTATGATCATTTTAATCCAGTGTTGACACTGTGTGTTACATGTGGGGCAGTGTGGCCGGGCTGAGGAGTTGCAGTCAAGTACCCAGTACACCCCTGACCATATGTGTCCCGATATAAAGGCTAACGACAGGTCCATGTGGGTGCCAGTAAAGCAGAATACAGCAAACGTATGGCCATCAAAGTGTTCCACAGAAGAAGCCCTCTCCCAGCAGATAATACCAGGCCACTAGATAGGAAAGAGTAATAGGAAGAGTACCCAAACGAGCTCCCAGACCTCACCAGTCAGTGCTTCTCATTCCTAGGACTTTGACTTTCAATCCTAGACATGTTTGGGCTTTAGACAGGGAAGAAAGGAAAGGGTCAAGAGAAATGGTCTCGAATACTTAGTAAATATTGACTCACAGCAAATGCAGAACCAGATAGGTCAGGGTCCAAGATGAATTCAGAATTTGAGCAGTTTAGGAACCAGATGGATCTGAAACCAGTGCATTTTTAAAAATCAAGATAGACAGGGTAAGGGATGAATGCATTTTATAGGAAGAAAGAGCATGCTTAGAGGAAAGACACTGGCTACCTTCTCGTTATCTATCAACGCCAAGCTGCTCATAGCAGAGAAAGTAAGGTGATCATAGACTTGAGAGGAATAATGCAGAAATCAAGTGTATAGACACAGGTGAAGACAAGAAATGCATTCACACACTGCACTTGGAGATTAAAAAAAAAAAGCCCCAAATACAATATGTAATTTTGCCCAAAGTTCCAGACTCCAAAGCCAAGAACAGACTTTGTCTCTACAAAATGTCTCCAGTCTCAACCACCATCTTCTTCATGTTCCCTGTGGCTTTCTGCCTCACTGAAGGCCCCCACCCTGCTGGCACCTGCTACAGAAACCAAGAATCGCGCCACATCTATCAACAGATGTTTTCTGGTATGCCCCTAAGCTTCTGGTTAGAGTCCTCGGCTCTCAATACTGCTAATCCTAGATATCTGTAAGGTACTCAAATGGGTAAAAAGTAAGGCCACGACCTATATATGATATTGGGTCCTAAATATGACAATATTTAATCAACTTAAGTCATATACAAAAAAAAGTTTGGTAAGTTAGAATCATGTGAGTTTGCCTATTGGCTTATAACACCCTTCTGTGTTCTATGAAAACTTACTACCTCATGATTACAAGATCCCACAGAGGGCTTCAACATATCTGTGAGGGTTGTTTCACTACTGCTGGACAACTACAAATTATTTACTCCTTCAACTGCAAATGATGTTTCAAAGAACATGAGGGTATCTTATTTCCGATGGCCCCTCTGATTGTATTCTCGAGGTACTTTTGAGAACAGATATAACCATACCAAGAAGGCTAGCCACACTCTGCAGCCCTGTCCAGTCACCTGTAGTTCTATCACAGACACCAGACTCTTGATTTGCACAACAGGAGTCCGCTGGCCTGACAGGAGTAACATAGGAAAGCTAGCCTCCTTCCCCGGCTGCTGGGAGTGTCCACGCTATTACTGTCCACGCTATGTAAGTCACAGCTCAGCTTAGCAAGACTAAATCCTGGTATATGAAGGTTGCTGTTAGCTCATTTATCACTTCATTCATCAGTCTGAGGACTTAATTTGGTTATTAATTAAAAAGAAGTACAATGAGCTTACTTCTAAATTATTTTTCTCCCAAGAGTGCTAACAAAGTGGCTCACTACAGTCTTCTTTGCCAGGATACAATAGCTGCAAATGAAATCATTATTAACAAAAACTACACTCCGGGGTCTGGAGAGACAGCTGACAGGTTAAGAGCATGGGGCTCTTCCATAGGCCCTGGTTTCAGCTCCTAGCACCCACAAGGTAGCTCACAACTATCTGTAACTCCATTCTAGGGGATTTGGCTTTCTCACATGGACATAACTACATGTAAAACACCAAAGAACATAAAATAATAAATTACTTAAAAAATAAACTCCACTACTGTAAAGATTAGCCTGGCATCTTTTTATTTAGTACAGAAAACACTGAAATACATAAAAGCAAACTTTGTGTCTCTAGTTCACTTACTTTGAAATGCTTTTGTTGTCTGGTTGCCATGGAAACAGCACAATCCCAGTGGCTGCCCTGTAGCAGAAGACACCCAGCAGCCCCAGTGCTAAGGCTGCCTTGGATACAAGGGAGCATCCCTTTTGAACCAGCATGAAGATCACAACCAGGGAAAGGGCAGCCAGGCCTGAGAGTTGAGCTTTGTGATCAGAACTGAAATAAGACAGAAGATGTCCAAATTACCACCAGCAGAATTGTGGGTATTGAAGGGTTTTTAAAGAATTACAATCAGATGATTTTTCTAGAAAGCCAGAAAACAAAACGAGTTCTTAAAATGTCACAAAGACAACCATGCTGAGATCTCACTCACTTCTTACTCTTAGGATGGTCTCAGATGCTGGCATTAGGTACAAACAGTTCTGTCCTCCGGTCTCCTCGACTTGCTTCGTGCTCATCCTGGCTCTACTGTTCTCTCATAAGCTCAAGTCTCTCGGCCCTAGCTTCTGACAGGTGCTGTCCCGCTGAGCGGAGAAGCATAGGTAGTGCTACGTGTAAAAGAATTCTGGCAAGGCTAGCTCCCTTATATTATTTACAGCCTATGCTCATAAAGCTAATGAGCTTCGATAGCTAATAGTTGTTAAATACATATTCTGGAAAGATATACATAGAAACGAGAAAAGATTTTAGAAAAGTGAATGAAACTGGGAATGGTGATATACATCTATAATCTTGACAAATGAGATCACAAGTTTGAGGTCAGCCTTGGGGATACAGAGCAAGACTTTGTCTCAAAACACACACACAGAGCGGGGTGGGGGAGCGGGGAGGGAAGAGGAAGAGAGAAAGAGAGAGAGAGAGAGAGAGAGAGAGAGAGAGAGAGAACAACAATAACAAAAAAAAACCACAAAGAAAAAAGAAAAAGAAAAACAAACCAGAAAATGGCATAAGACAGTTGACTGTCAGGACAGGAAGAGATGATTTAAAACCAGAGACCTCACCCTAGAGGAGGTCTCACCCTGGAGGAGGTCCTCACCCTGGAGGAGGTCTCACCCTGGAGGAGGTCCTCACCCTGGAGGTCCTCACCCTGGAGGTTCCACCCTGGAGGAGGTCCTCACCCTGGAGGAGGTCCTCACCCTGGAGGAGGTCCTCACCCTGGAGGAGGTCCTCACCCTGGAGGAGGTCCCACCCTGGAGGAGGTCCTCACCCTGGAGGAGGTTCCACCCTGGAGGAGGTCCCACCCTGGAGGTCTCTGCTATGCTTTACACTGAACACCCTAGATATTCCACTAGACTGCTGTATACTACCACAGAAAAGTGGTATTAAAACAGCTTTGGAGTGGGCAGCTAATGAGGCTTATAAAATGGCTCTCTATAACTTGAATGGCCCAGGAATTCAAGAAAGAAAAAAAAAAACAGGGTGCAGGAAGCAGTACAATTGAGAAGGCAAGCAGGACACACATGAACCAAATGCTTCAATTTTCCAGAAAAACAAAACAGAGTCCATTATGTTCTTCTAAGACCTGGAACTCCTTATCATATCAACCACTTCATATACCCAGACTGAGGAGACAGGGCTGATTACCAGGCCCTGTGCCTCTTTCCTTCCTGAACTCCAAAGTGAGGACCACACTGTGCTGTTTCTCCAGGGCTGTTGTGCAGGCACATGGCAGAATCTACAAAGATGCCTGTTTTAACTGTGAGATTATGAAAGTTTGATAACTTAGCTAATACTTAGGGGAATTCTCTATGAGTCTCTGGATTAGAGAAAGCAGTCTTTCTTTGATGCCCACATCCAGGTTGACTGTGAACTTGTAAGGTTTTGGGAATACCATTTGCTTTTGTTTCTCCTCCACACAGATACAAAGTCACGCCACAGTATCCACTTGAAACTTCCCAAGCACTAGCAGGAGCACCTCTGACCCACTGCGCTACAATTCTAGCAGTTCTGAAACTGTTTGTTCCTCTGAGCATTCTCATTTGCTGTTCTTTTACATTGTTGCCAGACAATAAAAAATCAAGACAGTCTGGTCTGGACTTTGTCAGACTCAGATTCTTCCGTTTACTTCAAGTCTCTTCTTAAAAGCCTCAATCTAACCCATCTACATCTCTTCCTGGCTCTGCAGCCTCAGCAGAAAGCTCCGGAGATATTGAGAGACCTGCTATACACTTTTCCTTCTAAGGGTGGAGGGAGAGAGGCATGACTGATGAGAAAGGAGAATCAGAAGGCAAGATGCTCCAGAGACCACAGCCTTCTGCCTACTGACCTTGTCCTCTTGTCCACGGGCAGCAGTGTAGAATGAACCACCATGGACTTGATCTCAGAATTACATCTTTATCACAATGATCATTTCAAAACTCACAGGGTCTCAATCATTAACAATTACTCTGATTCCACATTAATAAGTCAAATCTATTAAGCGAGCCTCTTTTCAACTTCATGGGGTATATTTTCTATTTCTTTAGATCTCAAGTATTATCTTAGTCTTTATCTTTAAAAGGACACAATGCAGAAAAGGCAGGCAAATCAGCTGCAGACAGTTGCAGTCCATAGGTCGTGCTCACCTGGTAAGCCAGTGGCTGAAGTCGGGCCGGTGGGCTCCCTGCACCCCTGTCTGGTTCAAGGACCTCAGCAGCCGGCAGCAAATCAGCACCAGCCATGGACTTGCCAGCACTGCCCACCATTTGCAGCTTCCTTTTGTTTCAGAAAGGGAGACCCCTTTACCCTTTCTGTCAGGCTCAAACGTACTATAGCTTGTGCTGTCCTTCCGGGTACAAGCAAGTATGTCCACACATCCTTGTTCAACATGGAAGTGATGTTGAGGTTCACAGTCATCTCCCACAAAGTAACTCCTACAGGTTTCCTGACTCAGAGCCAGGCACAGAGTGTTAACAAGGAAGTACCAGGTCTGATGTTCTTCCTCCACAAAGCTGCTGGCTCCCAGGCTCAGGACATGGCCCACTGTGCCCAGAAGAAGGAGGAGATCCACTTCTGACCATTCTGAGCTGGGATGAGATGCACTCTGTTAGAAGGAAAGATAGTTTCTGAAGGATAACCTGGAAATTATATCCATCACCTGCACAGTCCCTGGCTCACAGTGGAAAGGCCTCGTGACAGACCCTTGCTGTCTTCCCATCGAACCCAGACTGCCTACTGTGGAAGGAAGCCCCTGCATGGGAGGCACCGGCCCCTCTTCCTGCAGCGCAGCCCAGAGAAGGTCCAGACATTCTTATGCTAACCACAAGGACACGGACATACCATGTCAGTCAGCTGTCCTCCCCAGGACTCTAAGCCCCAAGCTCAGTGTCAGAGACTGAAAGCAGGCCCTCAACACAGTGATTGTGTCCAAAGAATTGCCCAGAAGATCCCAGCCCAGCTGTCATGTTCCTTGCATGACACCAATTTCCCCAGGACTGCATAGTTTCCACTATAATGGGTACTTCGCCTGAAATGGCAACAGAATACTATCTCTTCAATTATGTTATGGTTTAGATATGAAGTAGTCCCCTCACCAAGGGGGGGGGGGCTCACAAAGGTGATTAGAACGAGAAGGAGCTAACTCCTTCATTCTCCCTTCTTTCCTCTCTCTGCTTCTTAGCTGCCACGAGTAAGTAGCTCTTTCCAGCCAAGCCTTTCCTGTGTGATGTTTCCACCCCAACACAGACCACAGTAATGGAGCCAGCCAGATACGGGCTGACACTGTTGAAATGAGCTGTAAATCTTTCCTCCCTCAAATTGTTGATCTCAGACATCCTGTCACCATGATGAAAGACTGACCCAAGGGCTGTCCATAAACCTTTTCTAAGACTACAGTACACATGTTCCCTTTCTTCCACATTCAGAAACCCTATTATAACTCTGCTTCAGTTCAGCTCTTTCCAGCTGAGAATAAAAGCATGTGACCTGACTACACAAGAGAATACCATGGGCCAACATGCTCAGAAGCCTAGGAAGGGCTGCTTAGCTCTTTCTCCCTCAGTTCATTTGGTGTGTGATCTTTCCATGGCATCTCCAGCACTGTAAGACTAGTATACACAAGATTTTCAACCAATTTCTTATTAATGAAAGATTAGCTGGAAAACAAAACAAAAGCCCACCCACAAGTACCATATTACATACCCAGGGACCAGCCGTACCTTCTTCAGCAGAGTGCCATCGACGACCATCCTGATAAGAGCAGACAGAATCACACAGAGCAGTGCAGACACAAGCACCATCACACCCCCTGCCGCCAGCCACGGGAGGCTGCAGAGGTAGCATGAGCTCTCAGACGAGGTGCATACCAGGACATGAATAGCCGAAAGAACCAGAAATACCAAATAAAAGAGCAGGGAAAACACAGGAGACAACAGGGGAACATCCAGCTCATCCTTCCTGCACAGCACATGTGGGGTGCTAAGGAGGAACAGGGTGAGAACCTGAAATAGAAGAAGATCAAGGGTGTCTATGGAAGGCCAGGCATTGTCAAAATCAGCCCATCCTGTTGCACTTATAACAACAACAACAACAAAAAGACCCAAGGGAAAACTAGTTTGTTTTTTGCTAAAACTACATAGCTTTATTTATAGTTTTATCTTTTATAGCAGTGCTGAATGAACCATGTGACACATCAGGACGCACAATGGAAGAACAAAGAACATTCCTATTTCCCATGGTACACCGATGCTCTTTTTAGACACAGGGTCTTCCTGTAGCCCAGGCTGGCATGATTTCCCTTCTGTCTTAGTAGCCTGAATTCTAGGATTAGAGACTTAACACTACCATGCCTAGAAGTAATGATATACACATTTAAAACCACCGTGTTCTAGCTGAGTTGTGAAATCAATTTAACACACAAACCATGACAATACAAGTGTCTGTACCTCCAAAACCACGACAGTCCCTACTGCCATGGAGTAGATGTCATAGTGAGCCACCTGTGTGCTCAGAGACAGGCTCAGGGTCTTCAGGGCACCCAGGTACTGCCTGAGTACTTTGGTCCCCAGGCCAAGCAGGATGTCTGAATGGTTTTCTTCCAAGTGTAGCTTGACCCAATTTCCATGCAACCTTTCTGCCATTTTAAACTGCTCAAATCCAGGATCTATCAGACAAAAGGATTATACACACTTAGAATTTTAGTGCATTCACCTATTCCTGGCATAGTCTTTAGAACTGATACCCAATGAAGGCAATCTGTTCCTAGGCAGGAAGGGTCAGCAACACTTCGGTAATACTGTGACAGTCGATGACATAATTCACCCAAGCCAGCACACACAGTATAGGCAGAAATTAGCACCCACGCTTGGCCCGGACACTTTCTCTACATCGCTCATGTGATCTTATCTCTCTCCTCTCTTCTTTTTGTCTCTTCCCATTCTTTTTTTCTGTGAAATATAAAAACAATTCTGAAGTGTACTGCATCAACAGGCCCTGGTCCACAGAGCCTTTCTCATCTTGACAGTGCGTGTGAGGAATCCTGCCCATATACCACACAGGCTGATTCTTGTGCCTTCACACTGGCTTCCTTCCTTACAGTGCTCCTTGTAGAGAGGCAGAGCATGGAAAGGTCCAGGCTCACAGCTACCCCTCTCCGTAGCTCTGAGAGGCTGCTGGAGGCAAGGAGCTGACAATCCTCTTTCCAGATCTGGTTATTATTCTTTACTATGTTGTGCTTGCTTCTGACTATATGAGTCTAAAAAAACAAGACTTTTCCTCCTGAGATGTTCAGTTCTTTAAAATGCACCTCATGCACCAGCAGGGCCACATATGCTGTCATTCCCTACAGTGCTGCACAGTGATCTGTGAACACAACTCATGCTTCACCTTCAAAGCAGAAAAAAAAAAAACCCGCAGGCATTCTCTTGCTGAGAACAAGGGTTCAATGGCACAATTTTAATGTGAACCTGAGCATTTCGGGTGGCACCTCTCCTTACTGGGTGTCACAAATTGCACAGAGAAAAACTGGTCAGAGCCTCTCTAAGCAGCTTGCGAACTTCCGCAATGAGCCACGATTGACGGATGAGACAACTGTGCCTGTTCTCCAGATGAGAAATAGAGCTAGAATTAGGGCATTTGCTCAGGTCACAAAGTGACAGAAAGCATTATTCTAAACTCTTGAACTTACGTTCAAGGCTGATGCCCTCAGGGTTATACCACATGAAAACAGGGGTATCTATGTTTATACCCCAAGCCTCCACAGTGACTTGTTATTCATAATCCATAGTCTCTCTTCCAGGGAATCACAGAGACTTGGGCCACCTATGCCTATACCCCATAGTATCTATAAGTGAACTATAGAAGACTAGTGGTACCTGTACCTACACCCATAACCTCCATAAGACTCATAAAGACATAGGGTACCTGTGTCTATAACCCACAGCCTCCATGAGTAAGCCACAAAGGTCTGTCTATGTATACTATGATCTATCTGTGTACACAACAGTTTTATACATTTCTACAAACGAACCACAGAGACACAGGATATTTGTGTTACATCTTACAGCCGTTATAAAATGAGTCATAGAAACCTGGGGTTCCTGTTCATGCAGCTACATGAATACTTCTAAGCACTGACTATGTCCCTAGATATCACATCTTGAATAAAAAACACAATGGATTGCAAATTGAAATAAATAAATAAAGAAAGAAAGAAAGAAAGAAAGAAAGAAAGAAAGAGAGAGAAATACAATGGTGAATAAATAGCACAATTCCTGTCTGCTTTCGCTGACTCAGAAGGCACAAACACAAACAAATGTAAACAAAGCACTATGTTGTAGGTATAGACACCTCTGATAACAATTTGTGAGGGATGGAAGCTGGAGAGATGGCTCAGTGGTTAAGAGCTCTGGCTGCTCTTTCCATGGATCCAGGTTTGAGTCCCAGGACCCAGGTGGCAGCTCACAACCATATAGGGTGACCCAACATCCTTTTGTTCTGGCTTCTGAAATGCATGCACACAACACATAGACATACATGAGGCAAAACACACGAAAGAAATTATTTTTAGTCACAAAGTATGCCATAAAGGAAAAGAGTTAATAGGAGAGATTTCTGGTAATAGAAAATAATTGATTTTAGATTGGAAGTGGAATACAGGGCAAGGATAGTCTGATAACCTGACTGTAAAGGATGCCCAGGAATTAACCAGATCAGGAACTAGGAAAGAGGAACATCCAGTTACTATGAACATATTGTTTAAAATTCCTGAGGCAAAAAAAAAAAAAAAAAAAGGTGGTTCCCACTAGAACTGAAAGACAGAGGGCAAGAAGCGTCAGATTTGGCTAGCTGTTGTGGAAGCTTCTGTTGGCCTTGCTTTGTGATTTAAAATGTAATGATGGTGTAGGCACAGATAGGCCTCGCAGGAGCGAAGCCCCGCCCCCATGTCTCCTAAGCCCTGGAGACTTGTTTCCGTTCTATTTAACGTGGTTCCTAACGTTTTTTCTAACCTGACATTTCTGAAAAAGCGAATAATTCTTAGTAGCTGTTTTTTGTTGGCAATTTTACTAGATTAGAAATTTTCTAAGAACAACAAAATATGAAAAAACTGGCTAGCCTGTGGCTAATGCCAATAATCTCAGCTACTCAAGAGGCTGAGTCAAGAGGATCACAAATTGAAGGTCAACCTAAGCTACAGAATTCAAGGACAGAGACGTAGTTTATAGAGTGTTTGCCTATCATATGCAAGGAGTGAGGTTCAATTCCCAGTAGTGGAAAACCAACACCACAACTGAAAATATAAATAAAAAACAAAGCCAAACAAATGAACAAACAAAACCACCAAAAAAACCCACTTTACCAAATATACACACTAAAATTAAAAACAATAAAACATCACCATACCTAAAACAATAAAAAAAAACAAAACTAAACAAACTAACCAACATTCTCCCACCCCTCAAAAAACAAACAAAAAAGCATCTTACAAGCCTATAAGTTATTTCAGGTGGGAAAAAAAAGCAAGAATAATAGTTATGTGCACTGAAGCCACGCCTCACCCCTAACAAAGCCTCCCACCTGGACTGGATTGAGTACTTGTCCAGGAAGTCTTCCTGCCCCTTGTATATGGCTCCCAGTCATTTCCTAGCTGGCAGACAGGTCTGTCTTCCACAGGTAACACTCATGGTATTCACCCTACTGGCTGTACATCACAACCTAAAGAAGAAAACTTGCCAGTATCATACCAAATACTGCCTCAAACACAAGTGCCTCCTCTAGACTCGTGAAGGAGCACCAGGGACAGATGTGCTAGTCTGTGATCTGCTGGACATACCAGAGGAAATCAACTGAAAACGTGACTCAGGTGATCTACAAAGATCCTCATAGAGGTTTACACTTCTCCTGCGATCATTCCTATCGGCACAGAAATCGCCCTTAGTATCTCCAGCTAAAAGACAAACAGTCTGCCTTTCTGATCCTCAACTGCCCTTACCTGTACCTATTCTGACCAGGCTCTCTCCCAACACAGGAGCTGCTCCAGCAATCACTGATGACTCCACATCCTCAGAACCAATAATTAGTTCTCAATTCCCCTTTGCTTTACCACATCAATACAGTGGCTTACTTTCTCCTTAGTGAAATTCTTTGAAAATTTGGTCCCCAGCTGGTAGAATTATTTGGAAATGATTAGATGTGGCTTTGTTGAAGGGGGTGCCACTGGGGGTGGCTTTGAGGTTTCAAGGGCCTTCACCATCCCCAGTTAGCTTTCTCTTCCTCAAGCTTGTAGACCATGATGTAAGCTCTGAGCTACTGCTCCAGCATCCTGCCTGCCTGCTGCCATGTCCCCTGCCCTGATAGTCATTGACTCTAAGCCTCTGAAACTCTAAGTCCCAAATAAACTTTCTTCTATAAGTTGCCTTGGTCATGATGTCTTAACACAGAAACAGAAAACTAACAAAGACACCTGCCTTGCAAAGTAGGTCCTGACCGCCTTACTGCATGGTCACCTGTTCTTTCACTGCACAGCTGAAAGACTGGAGTTGTTCCTTTGGCTTAGGTCTTCTTGCGCCTTATATCCCACTGTACCAGCAAATATTATCTTGTTACCTCCAAACACATCTACAATGTAACCACTTCTAATTTCCATCACCACGCAGGGCTCACTAAAACACTACAGGTGTTCCTTGCTTGCTCTGCTAAGTACAAGGCAGAACTCCCAGAGGGGATCTGGGAGAACCTTTGAAAATGCAGAAAACTCTGCCCTACCCTCCTTCACCTAGACAAAACTGAACACTCATCTAATGCCTCACAGCCTTCTGATGACATCTCTGAACTCATCTCCTTAACCTCTTACCCTCAGTCTACAAAGCTCCCTCTTAAACCTAAGATTATGCTTTTTATGGAGACCAACCTACCTATGTTCCTATGTGTAATCTTTTCCTAGGGTTCTGGTCACTACCTGGCATCTTCACAATACTTTTGTTTTCTTCATGCTGAAAGATTCTGTGATGTATAAGGAACGGTGGGCTGCATTCCGCCTGGCTCCCGCACGGCCAGCTTTACACCCGAAATAACAACACAAACTGTATTCTTTTAAACACTGCCTGGCTCATTATCTGTAGCCTCTTATTAGCTAACTCTCACATCTTGACTCAACCCATTTCTAATAATCTGTGTCTCACCACGAGGTGGTGGCTTACCGGGAAATATCCAGCATGTCTGCCCTGGTGGCTAGCTGCATGGCATCTGCCTCACTGCCTTCTTCCTCCCAGCATTCTGTTCTGTCTACTCCGCCTATCTAAGCTGCTGTCCTATCAAAAGCCAAGGCAGTTTCTTTATTAACCAATGAAAGTAACACATAGACAGTTAGCCCTCCTCCATCACTGTGAGGACAGAGATCTGGTGCCACCAGTACTTCTAACATGGTATCCCTTGTTCATAAACAAAAACTTGGTAAATATTTCTTGAATTAATAAATGTATAGATTTCAAATAGATTAATTATATTTGTGGGTGTTGTTAACAGTGACAGTTAAGGGCCTAAGGAAACATGAAATAGTATTTATAATTAGAGAGTGACAACTACCAAGTATTCCATACAAACTACACACCAGAAAACATTTGGAAAACACAAGGCCCATGGAATCATGACGACCTTATACAAGTTAGAACTACAATTACCTTACCTTTTTCATATGATGGTACATTTTCTTGCAATAGTTTGCTAAGTTGTAATGTGTTTAAGTGTAAGAATCTCAGTTGTTCTCGCATGGATTTTCCTTCTATGACTGGAAATAAGAGGCTCCCTACACTGTCTTTAGGAATCGGCAAACCAAGTCCAATCGCTAGTGTGGCAGCCAAGTCAGTCTGCTGGACATGCTTTGGGTGTCGGACATCCCCTGGAAAAAAGAAAACATTTTAAACAATAGGTTTGTAAAAGGTAGAAAATGGTAGTTATTCTTGAATTTAAGCAACTACAGTTAATATAAATCAAAACTACCACGTCTTCAAACCACTCAACTACACAATCACACAGAAATTTATCAAGTGCTAACTTCCCTTAAGTAGCTTTAAATATAATGGATAAAGTCTAATTTTAAAAGTACAGTTATCGTGATTGTAGCATTGGGCATGGAAGTGACAAGAAGCCTAGCAGAGGCCAAGGAATGGCACTTGGGTGACGTCAAGTCAACATGAGTTAGGATTAGCAGTGGTTCCTGAACTGTAACAGGATCTTTTCCTAGGAACGCAGGGTGGGGATAGGTTCAGCTGGGCAGACAGGCCACTGACTAGGACAACGAGGACGAGTAAGAAGTAAGACTCTGCCTATCCACATAACCTTCTCAAGCTGGTAGTAGTGGTCTGCACAACCAGCTCCTTAGAGAAGACCGGCTGTGGTGTTCAGACATCAGGCTCAGGGCCCTGTACACCGAACAACCTTGATGAAAAGCACCCTAGCAGAGATTTCTCAGCGGTAAAGAATGTGACCCCTAGCCCCACCCTATCTCCACCCCAGAAGCATCAGAACAGGTTTACAGGGCTGACTGAGTCACCAGGGAAGTCTTCTTGGACAGCCCTGCTCAGAGCTGAGACACACCAGTGGGAATGTGTGGAGATTTTACTTTAATTGCAGTAATTTTTGGTTGTACAGATTTTTCACTTGGTCACATTTATTTTCTAGACAAACTTTCTACTTTAATATTATTGCTTATTATCTTCCAGTATTTTCTGCTACTATTTTCTTACATTGTTTTGAGCTGAAAAAAAAAACAAACATGAAACAAATGCAAAAACAACACAAATTCACTTCATGTAATCAGACACTATTCTAAGGCCAATGCATGTCTACTATGGGGTGACGTAAGTGTATTCCATGTGATGCTCTAACTCTACCAAGCACTAATAACTAGAACTCTAGGCTCAGGCAGAGAAAGCAGAGGCCAGATCTATAGAGATGATTTCATAGTTCTGAATGTGAACTGGAAGTATCAATTCAAACTCAAGATTACCTTATCTGAAAAGATTTCCACGGGGCAGTGGTGGCACACACTTTTAATCCCAGCACTTGGGAGGCAGAGACAGGCAGATCTCTGAGTTGGAGGCCGGCCTGGTCTACAGAGTGAGTTGGAGGCCGGCCTGGTCTACAGAGTGAGTTCCAGGACAGAAAGAGCTACACAGAGAAACCCTGCCTCAGAAAACAAAGGTCTTGCTCTGTCCAGAAACCTAATAAGACCCAGCATAAATTCACACTTCTGACACAGTATATTCTACAAATTCTACCAATACCAATATACTTGAAGGATCAGGACATCCTGGGAAGCTAACTGAGCCCTGAGAAAGACACAGGCATAGCAGTTAGGAATACTGTTCAGAGGGCAAGAGAGGGATCCGAGACCATTAAAGTCTTGCACAAAGGACTTGGGAATTAATATGAAGATGTTCCCACTGGCCAAAGATATGGGAAAATAAAGAATAGTAGTTATAATGAATAGAAACAAATCAATATGCTTAACCCCAATATTACTAAAAACTGAACAAGTTTAATTGGCCATACTTGAAGAATGAGTCATTAATTGATTTGAAACTGGTATGTGGGGAAAAAAAACAATACATTTTGTCTCTCTTATGCAAAAAAATATCACTGGGAAATCCAAAGTATATGGGAACGTTTTCTTTTCCTTTGCTTTCTTTCTTTTTCTTTCTTCTTCCTCTTTTTTTTTGTTTTTTTTTTTTTGTTTTGTTTTTCTAGACAAGATTTCTCAGTGTAGCCTTAGATGTCCTAGAACTCACTCTGTAGATCAGGCTGGCTTCAAACTCAGAGAGAGTTCCTCCTACCTCTACCTCCTAAGTGCTGGGAATAAAGGTATGTGCCAACACCTCCTGGCATGTTCTCCCAAAAGTTCTGTGATGAAAACTTAATCTCTGGTGTACTGATGTTGGGAGGTGGTATCTTCTGTCAGGTATCAGCTCATGGGCCCTAGCACCACTATAAAATGGCCTCTCAAAAAAAAAATCTCATCCTCTTTACCCTTCTGTCTTCTGTCACAGGAGGATACAATGCTCCTTCCCTCCAGAGGCAGTAATTAAGGAATCATCTTGGAATAGGGGAACAAACCTCACCAGATTCTGACATTCTGACCTTGCAATTCCCAGCCTGCAAGAAGCAAGAAATCAATTTCTTTCTCTATAAGTTATCATATCTCTGTGATTGTTAGAATAGCAAGATAATAAATAAATAAGGATTAAATAGCACAGTAATAGCTAAGTAATATAAAAATATGGAATTAAAACACTACTCTTTGCAAACTCCCATCTGGTCATCAATGACTACTAAAATCACAAAGTCCTATATAAGGAGACTGCTCATTTGTTTCCCAGCCGCCCAGACCTGAAATAATCACACAGAAACTATATTAATTAAAACACTTCTTGGCCTATTAGCTTAGGTTTCTCATTAACTAACTTTTACATCTTAAATTAACACATTTCTATTATTCTATCTATCGCTACAAGACTGTGGCTCACCGGGTAAGCAGCGCTGTAACTAACACAGTTTCTGTGTGATTGTTTCATGTCTGGGTTGTTGGAAAATAAACGAGCAGCCTCCGTCTACAAAGTCCAGTGTTACAGTTTAGGTTACAAAAAAAATTCTACTACAAGGCTTGTGCATTTGAATTCTTGGTTCTCAGCAGGCAGCACTACTTTGGGAGATTGTGGAGGCTGAGGCAGGAAGACTGAGAGTTAGATCAGTTATGTTACATAGCTAGACTGGTTCAGAGGAATCTAGATCAGAGCAGGGGACTCCACAGACAATTTGATTTTTTTTCTCAGCAAATAAATGGTAGTAAATTAAGAGTTGGAAACCTTTGAGTTAATAGAAACCTAGGAGACACACTGACACATCACAATGTATGGATCTTATTTGTACCTAATTTAAATAAATTAAGACAATGAGAGAGAAAGAGGGAGACAGAGAGCGGGGAGGGGAGGGAGAGAAGCAGAGGCATTGGAAATCTAAACATTATTTGATGGCATTAAGGAATTAATGACATTTTTGACACAGTAATAGAACCAGGATCATGTGAAGAAAGAAAGTGGATATTTATAGTTCTGAGGTCTGACCCTAAATCATAAGGAAAATGAGTGTGTGCACAGACGGAACAAGACAAGCTAAAGCTAGATAGTAACTATTTAAATTGGGTGGTACATCTGGAGACTTACACTGTTTAACTGCCTTTAATGGGTCTGAAACTTTCTACATAAAAAAAATCTTTTGAAGTGGTTAAAATGTTTGGACCTGGGATTTATTTTAGTTTAAAAAGTGAGATGAGGGGCTGGAGAGATGGCTCAGTGGTTAAGAGCATTGCCTGCTCTTCCAAAGGTCCTGAGTTCAATTCCCGGCAACCACATGGCAGCTCACAACCATCTGCAATGAGGTCCGGTGCCCTCTTCTGGCCTGCAGACATATACAGAGACAGAATATTGTATACATAATAAATAAATAAATTTTTTTTTTAAAAAAAAGTGAGATGAGGTGGGTAACCAGCATTACTGCTTAATAGGTTACCTGGGCATACTATACTAACATAATGTTGGGTGTCCTGTCTTTTTTCATTAATGTGATATGCCACTATTATCAACAAACCTTTTCTTTTTTAAAAAAATCTTTATTTATCTACTTATTATGTACACAGTGTTCTGCCTGCATGTATGTTTGGATGCCAGAAGAGGGCACCAGATCTCATTACAGATGGTTCTGAGCCACCATGTGGTTGCTGGGAATTGAACTCAGGACCCCTGGAAGAACAGTCAGTGCTCTTAACCTCTGAGCCATCTCTCCAGCCCATCAACAAACCTTTTATGCTGGAATCTGTTTTAACCCTTCTTTTCCTCCATTGAAAGGCTTGTCAATCTTGCCAGCACAAACTTTTAATAACTGTAGCTTTGCACTGAGAACACAGGGTATGAAGGGCTTTATCTTACAGGTATTTCAGAGAACTAGTCCCAGCTCTTCCATTACTTATATACATTTCCATTTGCCCCACTATTTCCCTAATTCAGCAATCTTTAGAACCTTTAATAAACAAATATTGATGAAAAAGCTGACAGGCACCACTTAGGCTTGGAAGACAAAACAAGTTCATGAAACAAGCCAAGTCCTACCCAGTGGTGAGTCAGATAACCAATATACCTGCTCTGCCCTATGCAGGTCCAGGAGAAGGTATGTTATTCTTCCCTTGCCCCTGCAGTGACCCATACCCATGTTTCCCACTGGGCCGGGAGACACAGGACATACCTGCGTCTTCGGGCCCAGCAGGTTGAGAGCAGTCTATGAAATCACATGACAGATAATCCAAACTTCATAAAAACAACAGCCACATTTACACTCTGAAAATTAGCTAAGAGTATTTATCAAATGAAGAAACATTCATGCATGAAAATCTACTGAACTTTTATAAGAACTTTAAGAGTTTGTGGCACATGAATCTGTAACATCTCTTCCCCCATCCTGACCCCAGGTTCCGGAAAACAACAACTCCACAGGGGAGTCAGCTAGGAAAACAGCCCCACAACTCACCCCATCAATGGAGAGAGTGTCTGTCCCAAGGTAAAAAACATGTCATTTCTCACCTATTTTTGTCTCAGAAACAAAAGAGCAATCAGGTGGCAAAGAGTGGAGCTTCCAGGCTTGGTGACAGCAATAGCTACAGCTGCCTAAGAGGGCAACTGTGTGCCCTAGAAATAAGGAAGCAACCGATAGTCCTACCCAGCTGTCCTGCCTATGAACTACTCGGACAATCTACATGGCCAGCACAGCAGGATAACCCTAAGAGTGCGATAGAGGCCTCATATATTGCTGGTAACCAACAGCTCTCTAATTGGACTTAAGGCCCATTCAACAGGATAGAAATCATACTTGGTACTAGAAAAATTAACCAACTCTCCAGGGCTGGTGGGGTCATAGATTTTAGAGAACTTAATAATGCCACTTTACTAAACCAGCATAATTCCTAACTGCATCCTAAATATGAATTCTTATACCCACAAAAAAAATATAGCTCTCACCACTCATCAAAGAGACTTCTCTTTATAACAGATGGAGACCATTTCAGAAAACTGGCCAAAACGCAGACAACAAGGGGTGCCCAGCTGCAACTGATACATCTACAACATAACTCCTGCACCCAAAGCTAGGGAACATCTCCATGGAGAAGGCTGAAAGACTATGAGAGCCAGGGTATCCGGACATCTGCTACACTACTGCATCTCCTGTGGCGACCCAAAAATGTGAGCCTTGTCTGCCGGTCAGAGAGTTGGAGGTTGCTCTAAGTGGCTGATAAGCATAGTTGCACATTCCAACTCAGGATGTAATTACTTGATTCTTTTGACATTAAAATAGCTCACACAAGTAAGTCCTTGCCATCCTGACAAGTGGTCAGGATAAGCAAATGTACTTCTGCTCCTTCTTTTGTAACTATGAGGTTACCTGGGAAGTGGCTGTCTTCAGGATACTGGTCTAGGGCAGCTTCACTGCCTAAACAACAGATCTGTTGCCTCAAAGTGTTAAAGCAATTAACTGTTTGAGTTGTCCTTTGTAGTATGTTAATAAAGTTTTCTATTATAGTTTCCCGCCACCATTTGTATTTGGGTATAAAAACATATGGAAAAATAAATGCAGGCGACTTCAGTATTCACTGGAATGCCCACCCCATACTATTCTGTTGTTTCTGTCATTTTTCACACATCTTCATATTCTTTACTACTATTTCAAAATTCCCATGACCGTACCTTGCCAAGAGGTATTTTTGTCAAGGCTGGCCCACAAGAATCTCCTAGAAATGACAAAGAGCCTTCACCCATGACACCACAACAATATGGCGGTCTAAATAAGACCTGAAGAAGTAAAACACCAATAGACACGCTAACATGGAAGGGGCAAATCTCACAGCCTCTGCGGACCAAGAGCTACAGGCATCTAAGGAATGCTCAGAGGAGATAGTCTTCTCAGGGACAAGCCCCTAATAGGCTATCCAATACCAAGTGGTCAGCCTTCAAATTATAGAGATATTTGGAACACTAACAGACTAATCAGGTTGTATTCATATATTTAAGGACACCACATTTTTCCTTTGTTTCTTTCTTTTCTTCTTTTTTTCTTTCTTTCTTTTTGTGTGTGTGTTTGTAAAACAACAATGAAAAGAAACCATGATTTATTTCAAGGGGGAAAAATGAGGGGTACATGGATGGGATTGGAGGGAAGAAAAGGAAGGGGGGAATTGGGCAATTTTAATTTAAAAGTTTGATTTTAAAAACCTTATGGTATAGACTGAGCATCCCAGAGGCATTTCTGCCCATCTAATCTTTTCCACAGTTTCATGACTTTAAGCTAAGCATAGTCCAAAATGTGTCTATGGTCTTTTCTTTTTAAATTGTGACTCTTTAATTAAGGATGTTTAGATGTACTTTTTAATTAAGGATGTTTAGAAAGAGGCTAACCTCTCTAAAAGAATACGAATAGGTTCCCTAACTAAAATTCCTGCTTCTGTCCAAGAAAACAATTGTTTTGGAAATGACTCTCATGGTCTTGCCAACTGCAGGCATATTTTCTCCATTCTTTGAGATCCTGGCTGTACTTGTTTTGGCTTTAAACTCACCAAGATGCCAACCCAATGCATTAGGTTACAGGACCAGAACCAGAAAGTAGCTGCAGGTGTCAGCTTTGCTGCAGAAATACTACTGTGGCCATGGTTTAGTCTTGTGGAGGCAGATGGGCATGCAGCTGGGGGGCGGGGCAGAGAGATAAGCCAAAAATAGTGAGCACTTTTAAAAATATTTAAATAGTAGCTGCTGACATTTTTTCATTTTTAAAATATTTAGACCCAGGCAGCGGTGGCTCACACCTTTAATCCCAGCACTTGGGAGGTAGAGGCAGGTGAATCAGAGTTTGAAGTCAGTCTGGTCTACAGAATGAGTTCCAGGTCAGCCAGGGCTACAAAGAGAAATTCTGTCTTAAGAAAGAATTATATTTATTTATTTACTCATTCATTTATTTTGTGTATATATGTGTACAGGTGTGGGCACATGAATGCCAGGTCAGAGGACAACTGTGAGAGTGATTTCTCTGCTTCCACCAGATGATTCTCAGAGACGGAACTCAAAGAGTCATACTTGACCACAGGTTCCCTTGCCGACTGAGACATCTCACTAGCCCAAGACAAATTTTGAGGAGTTCCATACCTAGCTGGTAATATTTCTAAAATAGAATTCTTACAAAAAGTACTTATATTTTGAGAATCAGAGCAAAAAATTTAAATTATAAATTCTGACTTCCCATCTCCCCTTTAACTTTTATTTCACATTGTTTAGGATAACTTATACCAGACTACAGTTTTAAATGTTAATCATTCCTAATTCTCACCAGGTTTCCTTTCAAATGCAGAGCTGATTAAGATCAGAGGTGTGCTTACTTCCTCTGTGGAAGAGGCCCCATGGCTCCCTGTCTCAGACATCCCATGATCACCACAGAGAACCAGCAAACTGGGTAAGAGAGTCTCTCTCTCCTGTAAGGTAAAGGAGAACCTGTCAACTGTACTTGTCTGGCAAGAACATTTATGGTCTTGCAAAGGAAACAACTGTATAACTTCACTTTAGTTCATCAACAGAACCTTCTCCTTAGTGCATTAAATCTCTTCCAATAAGCTTAGCGTTAGATCAAAGGGTCAGAGGCTACAGGTGAAGAGAGAACAGTGCAGAGCTCCGAGTACACAAGCTGTGGTTATTACCTCTGACAGCAGGGAGCCTGTCATTTCCATGTGGGCACATGACTCCTCTTGCCTCAGTTTCCCACCATTTATTTTACAGAAGTATCCAGAGGGGGCACTAGGCAGGTCACGGGCTTCTCGCCCAGAGCTCTGGCCATTTGACCTTACCTGTTCCAGTGATACTGAGCAGGCTCTTGATCCTCAGTGCTTCTTCTTTACCTGACACACACCACACAGATAGTGTGAATTTTCTTTACCTGACACACACCACACAGATAGTGCGAACCTGTCCCATCCTCCTCTCAAGTCTCTTTTCACACAGAACACTCCTCCAAAAAGACTGTCCTAAATACACTTCTTGAAATTACAGCCTCTCCTTAGTACAGGGGCGCTGGTGCCTGCTGCCTGTGTTTTCCTGAGACAGCAACTACTTTTTGGCACATTTATATTATTTACTGTATTTCTCATGCTTCCTTCCTGGCCTGAATGGAACTCCATAAATAGTAGCGATGTAGACAATACCCACAGTACCCACGGCAGAAGCATGACTGGTTGACTGAAATGGGCAGTGCTCTCTCAGTCATTTCTATTCATTCTAGAAAATACTGGCAATATGAAATCCCATCACCATGCAATGTACCACAGTAAGCCTCACCTTTGACAACAGTGAAGTGTGAATCTTCATCAGGATACTATCCATTTCGCTGAGCTTGTGACCAATCAGGGGGCTGTTGGGCCCAGAAATGTGGCCAATGTGATCTAGGCCTAGATAGTGAAGGATCAACACATCCCAGTCTCCTCTTTTCAATACTTTATCCAAATGTCTTGTGATGTTATTATCCACCTGGGGGGGGGGGGAAGTATGTATAAATAGCGCATCCAATTTTCTGGATCACCAGGAGTCAATCTCAGGTAACAAGACTCATGAAAATTGAAAAAACAAAAACCAAATAAAACCAAAGCCTTGAAGTCATTACAAAGGCAAATGGACATGAGTATTAGACTACGCTTACGCCTATTCTTTATAATGTCTAGATAATTTAAAGGAAAAAAGGCTACTCTGGCATTCACCCCCTCCCCCAAGGGGATCATTGCTTGTCTGAACTAAAGCTGAATAAATAAGCAAGCTAGACAGGCTCAAGAAGCCTGTTTATGGATAATGAAGGTCAGCCAACCAAGAGAGTACAGTAGAGTCAGGAATAAGCCACAGTCCTATATAAAGGCTATTCACAGCATTTATCTCCACTTCTAAAGCAACATCATGAAGATGTGAGGAGGTAAACAGCTCCTGATAGGGCTGGTAGCCTGCTCAGCCAAGTCTTCAGTGAGCCCACTTCCCTCCCTCTGAAACATGCACCACAAATAAAAGTGTTTCCACCTGATGACATATATACCGTGGAAACTTGTTACTACTGAAAAGTCACACTGTGCCTGCCCTGGTGAACATATTCTCAAGGACTGGCTCCCAAACCCCAAACTAAGAAGAGACTCGCACTCTAGTGCTAAACAGATTAACCCTTGTGATTATCACTTCTGCCTCAGGCCCAACCTTTACATACCTGGATATAATCCTGATCTTCCTCTTGCTGGAGCCTGCACCCCAGCACAGGCAGAGGCCTCTTAGAATAAGATTCTACTCAGCTCACTGCAAGCAATCATAGCAAGCTCTGGTCCCCCTATAGATCCCAACAGTTAAAGAATCCCAAAGAGCCACTGGACTCCTGTAACACTGTTGCCTCCCATATGCCCAGATAGGGTCCTCACTCATGCAGTGACGTAGCTTCTCTGCTGTGGCACCCTTCCTGATCTTCTGGGCCTATAACATCTGTACCACTATTTTGCATTTGGGGGCCTACACACCTTGGTTTACACTTCTAACAGGGTTTATGCCTCCACTTACAACTGATGATGCAAATGAATGATTTTTATAATCTTGACACACCACTTCATAAATTAGTAAATACTACACAGGAAATAGCATCACCTGAGTGGAAAATGGTAGTACCAGGCTCGACCTCAGGCATATGCTTCTCTTTTTAAGAAACCGACCTCTGAAATGGGTATGGGAGTGCATGGCTGTAATCCCCGCACTCTGGAGTTGGAGGCACAAATATAGAGTTCAAGGTTGGCCACTGCTACAGATATCCGGGCTACATGAGACCTTGTAATTGGGGGGCGGGGCAGGAAGCTGACCTCTGTATAATCTGACACAAAGAATGATGTTGTCCCATCATACTCCACAAAATGCTTTGGGAATAATTTAAGCCATGTTTCATCTCCATAAAAGATCATTCTTTTCCCAGCAGCTTTGGCCTGTCTTATCACATTATCTTCTAGGAGCACAGGAGAATTGAGGTTCCTGATGACATCAACAAAGCCAGGGAGACTCCCTGTCATCAATGCCTGCAGGAAGAAATATTCGAGACTTAGATCACAGATCCAAAAGTGCAGCCTCGGTGGCAGACGGGCACAGATCTACAGTAGTTCCTAATCTGGCCACTGAGTGAAAGCTAGGACAGCAACAGGGCCAGTGCAGTGGGGAGATAGGACACAGATATTGAAGATTTGATTATTTAATGAACATGGTTCAGGCAATCCTTTCATGGGTAAGACAGGAAAGGAGGAGACAATAATAGTTAGACACAGAGCCAATCACAGAAGCTCTGGGTTAATGACAGTTAATGCTTATATGTATGCATGTACATTGAAAACATGAACTTGTATATTCAGACCCTTTGTCAGGATTCCAAGTAAGATTTAACATGCTGTATGTGACAAGCAAGTTCATTAACTCTAACAAAGAAGGCCTAACAATCCAGAAAATCTAATATCTGTCTCTTAAGTTTTGTTCTTTTTTTTTTTTAACTGCCGATATAGAGTTCTCAAAGTGAACTGGGCCAGGCCTGTTAGTGGGACATCAGACTCACCCACAGTGCTGCACCATGCAGTAGACAGTGGCTGTGACATGTCCTATCTTTCTGATATACAGAGGAGTCAATACTCTACCCACTTTTACCACAAGTCCTACCAGGTCACAGTAATAACAATAAATCTTCATGATTTGGAGTTATACTACCTCTTAAGACAATATCAATAGATTGGTGATAAAAAGAAACAGGAATCTTTGTAATGACTACAGAACTCTAATAAAATTTCTTCGGTAGCAAATAAACACAAACTTCATTTTTTGGCTCTAGGTCTTGGACTCAGTGCTATACATATGTTAGGCAAGTGCTCTATTGCTGAGTTTTATCACCAACCAAGTAAGTAAATATAAATCAACCAGACTTCCAGAGCGGCAGAATGAGGAGCTTGGAAAATCCCTCCACTTCCCAAGAGCAAAGGAAAGTCAACAAAACTATCAAAAGCAATTACTCTAAAACTTAAATAGTCACCAAAATTATGCAGTAAGTTGTGCAGGCATTAGCCAAGGAAACACTGTACCTGTGGTTTTTCCTATCACCTGATCTGATAATGGATTCATTGCAGCTGGCTGTGACAAGCAAGAAACCTACTTAAAATCTGAAAGGGTGCTCTGGGTTGTTGGACCCTAGAGTCCAATCACCAAGGAGGAGTCACCCCAAGAGACCATCTCTCACACCACAACTGATGTAAAAGCATGAGGATTTTATTAATTCTGCCATGACATGGTCTTTTATCATTAGAGAGGCCAGAAAGACCCTGAATAGCTGGTACAGGCTACTTTTAAAGGAAAAAGTCACAGAAGCAAGGAGGGTAGTACAGAATCAAAAGGAGAGTCCAGAAATCATTTGTCAACTATTTTGACTAGTTCATTCAATGGTCAGCTAACTCAATGCTACGGCAGTTGCTGGGTTGGTTGAACAAGGAGGAACACTTTCAAGTCATCTGCAGGTCGTCTCAGCCCAGTTCCAGGGTCTGGGTCTATTGAAGAGAGACTGCAAAGGGGATGGAAAGTACTCAAAGCTCCAGTGCACGCGTGGTTGGTTACCAGGGTCCTGGTTCCCAGGAAGCGGGTGCAGTACTGCTGAGAGGCCTCAGAGTTGTCAGAAATGGCTTTAGAGTTATTTTAGAGTTCTACAGGTAAGATGACAACTATGGATAAGTTTTAAAGTATCCATGTATTTTTGAAATCTGGAGACTTAGAAATAGCCAAAATTACTAGTTCCTCTGCTGAGAAGGAGTTCTTGCTCAAACAGTGAAAGCCAGGTCAGTCAGGTGTCCCCGCACACATGAGCCTCGGGTAGATGCCTTGATGTCAGATAAGCTCAAACACAACCTTTGCAGTAACTGGCTGGCCCTAAACCACACTGGGCCAGCGAAGCCCAACAGAAGAGTGGTTTAAAAACAAGAATTTAAAATAATCTAGAGTCCTGTTAGGTTGCTCAGTAGTTAAGAGCACTTGACACCTGCACGCAGCTCAGCAGCAGTGCCCAGCATTCACAGGACAGCGCACAATCACCTGTAACTGCAGCCCTGGGGACACAACACTCTCGTCTGCCCTCTGCAGGCACCAGGCATATATGTAGTACACATACATCCATGCAGACAAAATGCTCAAACAAATAAAATAAAATCATTTTTTAAAAACACGGTACAGGCCCAGATTTTCGGGCGCCTTTGGCCCTTCCTGCCAGCACTCTTCCTACTCGTCCTGAAAGTATCTTTTTAGTGTAATTTCCACAGAGGGTTTTTCTGACTCCATAACCTCAACAGAATTTCTATCCCTCCAAACTCAGTGTTACATGCAGTTCTCTCCCATCAGACACTCACCACAAGATAATTATTTTATCTGAAATCTCACTTGTCTAATGGCTACGTATGTCCATAGAGACTAACAGCCTTATGAAAGTAGAGGTACTGTTTCCCCCCAAATGTATGCCCATTACACTATCAATACCTAGTACTTGCTCAGTAAGTAGTCTTCAAGCCAATATACAAAAAGAGCTTCATTTTTTTTTAAATTTAGCCATGATTCTTGGGTAAAACACTATGCACTTCAAAACTACCCTCATCAAAGTGAACACTTAATTATGTAGAAGTAACAGTTGTTGAGGCCAGTTCATACTTGTTTGATAATTTGTATAATATAATTTCAACAAGCAATTTAATTTAACTGAGTTTGTTTTCTTATGTATACAACTTATGAAACAGTCTGAATATCCCTAAAGGTTCCCTCAAGCCTGATGACTCTGGAACACTGCAGACCACCAAAGAGGTGGGGATCTCTTGGACTACAGTGGCCTAGAAAATCTGGTTCTAAATTTTTCCTTCTTTCCATGAAGTATGAACTCCGGATATTTCACAAGCAGTAAGAAGATGGCTCCATCTTTTATTACGGGGTTCCTTCAACATTCCACTGCCCCAGTAAAACTGACAGCATCAAAATATTTTTATGTTTTTAAAATAGGGTCTCCAAGTAGATTAGATAATCTCTCTAAATGTTCAAAATAGTCAAATCAAGATTCATAAAACATCATGCTAAATTTACCTTGATTCGAGGCATCGTAACTGTGGGTGGCTTTGCCTCGGCCACAAAACTATGAGATGCTCCTTTTTCCACCAGGTAAGTTGTGTAGGGCATATACTTCACGCCTTTGGCGCCAAACACAAAATCATCTCTTAAGGCATCTATCAGCACAATAACAACTTTACTGAAGAGAGGAGATGGCAGCTTGGTCCAGTTCGAACTGGCTCCTAAAAGTGTTTAGAAAAGAGGAAATTAAAAATAAATAAACAAACAAATGGGAAATTAAACTTTAGATTTTATTTAGTACTCAACTGCCTTTAATGGTTTTTTTACTTGTTCTTCTAACACATATCATATCTAGTTCGACCCGAAAGAAAGCCCATTTTTGGTAGCCAGTGTTAATTTTCTGAGACCAGACAAGTCAACCCTGAAAGACAAGGCTCTTTCAAGGGTTGTCACTAGCCCACAGATGTCAGACTACCAAGCGGGATATCTTCTGGGCTAGGCTATGTTAACAACGAGCAGGTACCCAGTAATACGTGGTGAACTGATCTTAGCACAGGGAGGAGTCTACGGCAGGGACGCCTCTCCATAAAAGACCTACAGTTGGGATCTGTGTCCCCGCCTCAGTTTGGCCTAAAACGTAGCCTACCAGGTAGCAAACTGGCGGGTTTAGAAATGGCTTAATGTCCAGTGCCTGGATTGTGTGGACCTGTCTCACAGCATCGTCTTCGTCTGGTGTGTATTTCTGTGTCGGTGAGGACAGTCAGGGTTCTAATGCACTCTTAACCATGGGATGGGAGGTGTGCTGGAGAGTAGCAGGAAACTGGAGGGGTCTGAAGAAATATTACCTCTTAAAACCTATTGCTCAGAACTGGAAACCTAAATTGGGGGTGGTTGAGAGGATTATCAGGAAAAGAAACAGGGATCAGTGCATAGCTGCAAACGAGAAGCAGAGCCGGAGTCACTCGGGGCTTACACTGATTATCACAGTGGCCGGCTGCGATTATCTCCAAGTTGTACGACACAGAAACAAGCTAAACAGTACAAACTGTTTCGGGGAGGGGCAGAATGAAAGCGATGACCACCGGGAAGGGGATCCATACCTGCTACAGGCTCGGGCGCCGGGATTTCTACACCGTGCTCTGGTCTGGCAGAACGAACAGGAGCAGGGAAGAATCCTCGAATAAATATCGCGACCCCGATCACCTCGATCGCGACGCAGCAGGCAGCGAAGGCCCCGGAGCCCAGCCGCATCCTGCCCAGCCGCTGGGCCGAGGTGGCCTGAAACTTCCCGGGGCTGCAGGAACTACAGGACAGGTAACCAGGAGCCACTCCCGGGCTGTCAGAGTCGACTCCCAGCGCGCCTCATCGCGCCGGTGCACCGGAAATACGTCAACGCGCCGGCGGCCGCTCTCTGACGACTTCCTTCCAGCCCGCCCTTGGGGCGATCCTACCAGGAGACTAGGGGCTGGCCCGCCCCATTGTCATCCTTATCCAGTCTGTTCCCCAAAGAGCCCGAAGATTCTCAGGAGCTCGGTTTCCAGTGCCACACCCACTCAGGATTTCAAACTTCACGCCGTCAACCCTTGAAGTACCTTGAGCCAAGCGCATCTGGCACCGCCGTTGTCCACGCAGGTTTATAGCTGCTGGTTTTCACGTGTATTTTAGGCGCACCTCACCTCCACTCGGTGTTACCGCTCAGGTTTCCTGACGAGTCTCAAGGGCTATTTCTAGGACTAGCCTGCAGGTTAAGCGACCCTGATGTGTTCGGTGACCGCCCCTTCTTTGGAACACTGAGTCACACGCACCATCTTTTTTTTTTAAAAAAAAATTCTTTGTGAATTTGGTGTTGCATGTTTAAAAAAGAAATAGCGTCAATGTTGGAGAAGGTTTTTTTTTATCAACATTTTCTTCTAGAAGTTTTATAGCTTCAGATCCGACAGTTTAGTGGTTAATCCTTTTGACTTGATATTTCTGTATGTACAACATAAAGATCCAGTTCCACTCTTCTGCTTATTTATCCAACACAAGTGGTTTTATTTCCTTGTTATATAGTGTGTCTTAGTTATGGTTTTATTGCTGTGAAGAGATATCACGACCAGGACAACTCTTATAAAGGAAAACATTCAATTGGGGCTGACTTAGAACAGTTCAGAGATTTAGTCCATTAACATCACAGTGGGAAGCATGACAAGAAACAACCTAGATGCCCCTCAACCAAAGAATGAATAAAGAAAATGTGGTACAGTTACACAATGGAGTATTTATTACTTAACTGTTAAAACAAGCAACATCATGAACTTTACAGGCAATTGGATGGAACTAGAAAAAAAAATCATCTTGAGTGAGGTAACCCAGGCCCAGAAAGATAAACATGCTATGTACTCACTCATAAGTGAATATTAACTGTTAAATAAATAATAACCATGCTGCAATCCACAGACCCAGGAGGTTAAGTAACAAGAAGGGCCCAAGGTGGGATTCATGGATCTCCCTGGGAAAGGGGAAGAGAATAGATTTTGTGACAGACTGGGGGTGGATGTAGATGAGAACAGGAGGGGTCAGGGAGGGTAGGGTGTAGGAGGGAGAGTACTGGGAGGGATGATTGGAATTGGAGGGTGGAGATATGGAAAACGAGAGTAGTAGAAACTCCCTGGGATCGATGAAAGTGACCCTAGCAAAGAGCGATGTGGAGCCTGAACTGGGCATCTTCTGTAACCAAGCAAGGCTTGCAGCAGTGGCACTGGGACACCAACCCAGTCACAAAACCTTTAACCTATAATCTGTCCTACCAGAAAGATACACAGGGATAATGGTGGTACAGAACTCATGGGAGTGTCCAACAAACGGCAAGTCTGACTTGAGGCACATACCATGAGAGAGAGCCCACCCCTGACACTGCCTGGATGGCCAGGAGCCAGAGGCTAGACAGCCCTGAGACCCAGGATACAACCAAATATGACTGGAAAAAATTGAATCAAGTGATTTCTAATAATATTCTAATCTACTAATAGATTGGTGTATAGCCCAGTTGTCATCAGAGAGGCATCATCCAGAAACTTATAGGAGCAGATAACCCACAGCCAAAGGAAAAAAAAAAAGATTGTAGGATCCAGAGGGGTTGAGGACACCATGAGAATGCAATCCACAGAATCAACTAAGCAGGAGACACAGAGATTGAAGCAAAAATTACAGGACCTGTATGAATCTGAGCCAGGTCCTCTGAATGTGCATTATGGTTGTGTAGCTGGGTGTTCTTGTGAGACTCCTAACAGTGGAAGTGGGCGGGTGTCTCTGACTCTTTTGTATGCTCTTAGGACCCTTTCCTCCTACTGGGTAGCCTCATTCAGCATTGACATGAGAATTTGTACCTATTCTTATTGTTGCTTGTTATACCATGTTTGGTTAATATCTCTGGGAGGCCTGGTCTTTTTTAGAAGGGAAATGGAGGGGGAGTAGATCTGGGGGAGAGGAGAGTAGGTGGAGAAGCTGGGAGAAGTGAAGAGTGGTTGGGAAGTAATGTATGAGAAAAGAATAAAAAATAATAATAAAATAAAATAAACAAAAATTACTACATATGGTGGTTTGAAAGAAAATGGCACCCAAAGGTAGTGGCACTATTAGGAGGTAAAGCCTTGTTGGAGTAGGTATGATCTTGGAGGAAGTGTGTCACTGTGGAGGTGGGCTTTGAGGTCTCATATATGCTCAAGATACCACCCAATATCTCAGTCCACTTCTTGGTTGTCTGCAAGATGTAGAACTCTCAGCTACTACTCCAGCACCATTTCTGCCTGCAAGTTGCCTTGTCCTACCGTGATGATAATGGACTGAACCTCTGAACTGTAAACCACCATCTCAATTAAATGTTTTCCTTTATAAGAGTTGCTGTGGTAGCTGGGCAGTGGTGGTACACGCCTTTAACCCCAGCATTTGGGAGGCAGAAGCAAATGGATCTCTGTGAGTTTGAGGCCAGCCTGGTCTACAAGAGCTAGTTCCAGGACAGGCTCCAAAGTTAAAGAGAAACCCTGTCTCAAAAAGCAAAATCAAACAAACAAACAAACAAACAAACAAACAAAAAAGAGTTGCTGTGGTCATGTTATCTCTTCACAGCAATAGAAACCCTAAGACACTATAATTTACGAATTAAAAAGAATCCAAAGTCTCTCAACAGTGAACTCTTGTAAAATCAAATAAAGTTATATGCTTTCTTACTCTAAGAGTGAAAAATCAGAAAAAAGTCCCAATAAGATCAAAGCAAAACCCAAGTCCAAAAGTATAAATACCTCAATATCTGATACCTTGAATTCATAGTCTCCTGAGGTCTAAAGGATCGATTTCTTCAGCTCTACTGTTCCTAGCACACACAGCATGTCTTGTAGACTCAGGTTGTCTCTCCTCCAGACCTGCTTCTGTTCGAGGTGGTTGTCTCTCCACAGCAGCTGATGCTGTACCCTCAACAATGGTCTTTCCTCAGGGACTTCATCCCTGCCACACAACTCAGCAGCTCTTCATGACTTCTTCATGCCTTCAAGACTGACACCATTTAATAGGGTTGCACACATTATCAAGTTTGGCTGCCAACATGAGAGGCAGCCTTGGCCATCCTGGATCACAGATTACATGCTGATCCTAAGGAAATAGTTTCAGAAGATTTTACCTCAATGATGCTGGTCCCTGTCTCTCTCTCTCTCGCTCACTTGCTCGCTTTCACTCTCTCTCTCTCTCATGCTTTTTTTTTGGTGATTATTGTTTTTTGGTATTTTTGGTTTTTATTTTTTTGAGATAAGGTTTCTCTGGCTGTCCTGGAAGTAGCTCTGTAGTCCAGACTGGCCTGGAACTCACAGAGATCTGCTTGCCTTTGCCTCCCAAATGCTGGGACTAAGGCATGTGCCACTACTGCCTGACTGCTGGTCCCTTTTTAATCACCACTAATTTTTCAGCTCTAGCTAACCAGCATCAATTGTATCATTAAAGCGCAGTAGAACAAAGGTTTCATGACAGTCATGCTTGTTTCTTGTTAATCATAGCTTATTATTCCATTACAGTTGACCAGACATCAGTATTTTTTTTTGTTTTTTTTTTCAAATAGCCATGAGTACAGGTCTTTGTTTCTGTGTTAATTACAGGTCATTAACTATTTTGAAATTGTCCTTCACAAAAATTAGGAAGGTTTTAGTCACTGTTTCTAAAGACGTACTTTGTGTTCTATTCTTTGTTTTCTTCTGCAAGTCCATATATTAAATTGTATATTAAATTGTTTCCAAATTGAACCACCAGTTTCTCAGCCTGTTTCTCTTTGGGGAAAAAGTGGAACTTGTGAAACCATAGATGATTTCTAAATTTTATAAGTCATTAATGCAGGTGTTTTCTGCTAGTTTCGTATGGCTCTTCCTCTTTTTTATGTTTCTACCTTTAAGTACTTGAAGACAGTTTAGATTGCTTAACCTCTTGTCTGTTCCTTGCAGTATTTGGTTTAAGAACCATCCATTTCCCCAACGCAAACAGAGAAAATACATTGTCCAGTTCCTTACATCCAGAAAAATTTCATCTTGGACATTGCAAAATGTCCAAGGAAAGGTACTTAAAAGATTGTGTTTTAAATCAGTTTATTCAATTTCCAGACTACTCTTTGTAGAGTTCAGAGCAGAGTTTCCATATGTTTCACTTTTCAGGATCTGTTTTTGTTGGTTGCTCAGGGTCTTCCATGTATGTACAGTTTGGTTGCTATCCAATCGTTTTGTTTGGTTTTATAACAGATTTGGGCACGTGAATTCTTTGACTTATATTCCTGACTTACTCCCACTCTTTGTTTTTCTTCTTGTTTTCTTAGCCTTCTGATGCTCTGATGTCTAATGCTCCACGGTGGAGAAATGGCAACTTTTGTTTTCATGATTTTTTTTCTGTAAGCATGAATGTCTTAGTCACTGTTCTGTTGCTGTGAAGAGACACCATGGCCACAGCAACTCTTACCAAAAAAAAGCATTTAATTGAGACTTGATTATACTTTCAGAGGTCTAGTCCTTTGTCGTCATGGTGGGGAGCATGGTGGCATGCAGGCAGGCATGGTGCTGGAGAAGTACATGAAGCTGAGAATTTTTCATCTGGATCAGCAGGCAACAGGAAGAAAGAGACACTTACCTGGCTTGAGTTTTTGAAACCTCAAAGCCCAACCTCAGTGACACACCCCTCCAATAAGGCTACACCCCTAATCATCTCAAGTAGTCCCTCTCCGCAGTGATCAAACATTTAAATATATGCACCTATGGGGGACATTATTTTTCTTAATTATTTTTATTGAGCTATATATTTTTCTCCACTCTCCTCCCTTTCCCTCTTCTCCTCTTCTACCCTCTCCCATGATCCCCATGCTCCCAATTTACTCAGAAG